TGCGAATATAAGAAGGATAGCAAGCACCAGGAGAGCAGATAAAACAGCACCAGTAGATAAAACATGCTAGAACCAGATAAAATCAGACAGGAAGGAAGTGGAAGACAGGAAGGAGTCATTTGAAGCATATTTTATGTGCTTAATCTTCATTGTGCTGTGCTTGAGGATGGATTGTTGTATGCTGCCCAGATTACTTCTTGTGAATTGATTAGCCGTACGAATTTGATAAATAAGTAAAATATCCCATTCCAATGTTCTTTGCTATTGTTTATATTTTTTCACATTTTACATACATATCTGACTTTACTAATACATTTTAGGGAAGGAGTTTGTTTTTGGATCAAGGTAGTAGTTGTGAAATATATCCAATGCTACCCTCTTGTGATCATTAGTAGGTTTTAGCTCGATCATCCTTCTCTTATAATTCGGTATAGAAAGAAGAGATATCAAAAGATCATCAAAATGAATTTGAAATTGAAATTGAAATATTGGCTATATGAAACAAGCCATATTTATTTTGTTCTGTGAAAAATGAGGCACTAGAATAGTTCAGTTGAAAATAAAATGTTGCCATGTATGCCTTTAAATGAGTATCTAATAAGGATTATGTGTTTTTTTAAAAAAATCCAGAAGAGGTGATTTGGCACATAAAGAAACACAGGCAGTGCATCAGACTTTTTTCTATAAGTTGACAGGTTTTGAAGATCAGGGCCGGATTTTCCTATAGGCTAACTAGGCTTCAGCCTAGGGCCTCAAGATCAAGAGGGGCCTACACAGTGGTGGGATTCTGGGGGTTCTAGGGGGTTCGGCCGAGCCCTTTGTTAAATTGCTGGCTCGCCCGCCCCTCGCCTCCCACCCGCGCGGCGCCAGCCTACCGTAGCCAGGGGTAGGCAATTGTGGCTCTTTTACAACCTGTGGACTTCAACTTCCAGAATTCCTGAGACAGCTTGGCTGTCTCAGGAATTCTGGGAGTTGAAGGCCACAGGTTGTAAAAGAGCCACAATTGCCCACCCCTTCCCTAGCCTGAGTTCCGCTGCCTGGGATCCACGTGGGCTGCCACGTGGTTCCCCACCGGCTCCGGACGCAAGAGAGCAGGATGGAAAAAGCAGCTTCCACGCCTTCACTCACCCTCACTCTCTGCTCTGTTGGATCGCCGGCCGTTCGCTTACCCCGCCCACTCCCCATCTATTGCTGCCTCCGATGGCTAGAGGAAAAAAAAACCTGCAAATTCTTGCCGCGGGGCTTCAAAGGGCCGCCCTAGAGCCAGTGGTGCAGCCGAACTGTTTGTTAAATTGCTGGCTTGCCCCGCCCCTCCGCACCACTATTTATTGCCAATAAATAGTGGTGGACGAGGGGCGGGGGAGCCAGCAATTTAACAAAGGGTTCAGTGTTTTTTTTGTAATTTTATTGGCCCCGGGAGCTTCAGCAGAGGCTAATTAGCCCTTGCTTAGATCGGCTCCCGACCCCCAGCTGATTTGCTCTCAGCTGTTTTGCTCAGTGCTCTTTTGCTTGCTTGGAAAGAGTGCAGATTTTTTTCCCCCTAGCTATACTGAAAAACGAAAGAGAAAGTAAAGCAGGCTGTTGGCTTTGCACGTTGGAAAATTAGGCAGGCAGATTTCTTTTCTTTTTCCTCACCAAAAAAAGTAGGTGCAAACAACGGGAAATTTAGGGAAAAAGAAGAGATTTTAAAACACAAAAGAAAAAAAGCTCTATTTAACTAGGGAATTGTAATAATTGAGATACTATTAATTGTATATTTCTGAAAGCAGAAATGGTTAAGTTGTGGTTTGGAGGAATATATGGGGGAAATTATTTGGTTTATTATTATTGGTAAATATAATTAATGGATTTGTAAGAAATTGGATTGCATGGAAATAATTGGAATATTCATGTTCATATTGATTAATATACAAAAAAGGTAGTTATATAACTAATTGATTTATATTAAAATGTTGAATTTATATTAAACAACTAATATTACATAATTAACCAATGTGAGGATGGATATAAAAATAGATGACAATGGGAAGGGGTATAATATAGAATAGAAGGGAAAAATTGAATTTGATTAAGATTAGAGATGAGGATGAAGGGTAATATTGGTTTTTTACAAAAATAGATGAGGAATAAATATGGCAAAAAGGAAATATAGAAATTGTAAATTTAATTGAAATGACTAAACACTGTTTAAATTTGTGAACCGGCCAAATACTCTGTTCAAAGAAAATACATTGTATGTTTGTATGTGTGTTTCTAATTATTGTTATTTATTCATATTTGTTCTCTTTTATTCTTTAAAGTTTAACAATTCATTCTTTATCTTAATATCTTTATATTTGTTTGGAGTTGGCTTTCTTCCCTTTCATCTTTTTTATTGTACAGCAATCTTTCTCCTTAAACCTACCACCTCTCTCTTTTCTTTCCTTCTTACTTTCTCTTCCTCCCCCTCTTCTTCTCCTCCCTACTTCCTCTTCCTTTCTCCTTCTCCTCCTCTCTTCCTCCCTCTCTTACCCTCCCTCCTACTCTAATTTCCCTTCCCTTCCTTCATCCCTCTCTATTGCTGTATCCTTTTATGCATATGGACTACTCAGAGGGCTGAAAAAGTTATTTTTGACTGGTCCTCGCACTTTTGACCAGTCCTCGAACTTACGACTGTCCTCACATTTTACGTTTTTGCCCTATCTTGTCACCATGGTGAAGAGAAGCAGTTGTGAAATGAGTGACATGGTTGTTAAGAAAGCTGCACGGGCATAAATGTGAGGATGGCCATAAGTGTGAGGACCGGTCAAAAGTGCAAGGCCCAGTCAGAAATGACTTTTTTCAGCCCTCTGAAAAAAGTCTATGCACTAGCCACGCCCACCCGGTCACATGACGAGCTACCTATGCCTAGTCATGTGACCAGCTAGCCACGCCCACCATCACATGATTGCCAAGCCACGCCCCCAACTAAGCCACGCCCACAGAACCTGTTGTTAAAAAAATTGAATCCCACCACTGGTGAAAGGGCCTCATAAGTGGAATAGCCTAGGGCCTCTTTTCATCTAAATCCGGCCCTGTTGAAGATAGATTGTTGAAAGCCCCACTAGGTAGTCCAGACCACAAAATCAACTCCACGGAAAGACTGAAACTACTTAGTTCAGTCCACTACTACTGCCACTAAAAGTAGCAGTTGAAACTGGGTATAAATTCTGGAGACCTACCATAGATGTGAGTGTATAGGGTAGCCAGCAGATTGGAGAAGTTATAAAAAAATCTTGGAAGTTCATGTGTTGTTGCTGAGAAAAATTACATAGACCTATTCATGTAGTTAAAAAGAAGCTGCTCAACTAAAATGATATTTAAAGAGTTAAAAAATATATCATTAAAGTGATATTTATACAAAGGGCTTCACTATGTTACATATAATACCTAAAGCATGTTGAAGATCCATTTACCCCAATGAAAATTAAAACTGAAGGTTATATGAAACCTGCACCAGCAGAAGGCAGCAGAAAGTGAAGACAAAATGCAAAGGCAGCAATATAAGCCATAACAAAATTTATGAATAATTATGAATGTATGTGTATGTATGAATATGTATGAATAAACATGTATGAATAACTAAAAAATACTGTGCAAAGTGTTCTTCAGAATAAGCCAGAGATAAAGAGTTTCTTAAACTGAAATAGAAATAAAGATGCCAAAGCAAACTTCTGGAGAGGAAAACAATAGTTTACTAAAACAGCAAATACTGTACTTTTAAATTTATTTTATGTTGCATATTATTTTTATATTGACCCAAATGTTGTATGTACATCTTGTAAACCCTTTAATATGCCTTGAAGCCTATGAATTGTTTCTTAGCCGCAATTCCATTAAATTATCTTGAATATACTGCCAAATACACATACCGATTGACTTCAGTGTGTTCTCATGTATATAAAGGGTAGCAAGTATTTTATTTTTCTTTCTTTAGTAAATTTGTATTTTTAATGTAAACCTCTTCTTGGGAGGCTGAATGATAGGGTATATTTCCTTTTCAAGTCCAGTATATGATGGTAAACATTTTAATATTTCTAGAATAGAATAAAATAGAATTTTTATTGGCCAAGTGCGATTGGACACACAAGGAATTTGTCTTGGTGCATATGCTCTCAGTGTACATAAAATAAAAGATATGTTCATCAAGAATCATAAGGTACAACACTTAATGATAGTCATAGGTTACAAATAAGCAATCAGGAAATAATATCAATATAAATCGTAAGGATACCAGCAACAAGGTTACAGTCATACAGTCATAAGTGGGAAGAGATAGGTGATGGGAATGATGAGAAGATTAATAGTAGTGCAGACTTAGTAAATAGTTTGACAGTGTTGAGGGAATTATTTGTTTAGCAGAGTGATGGCATTCAGGAAAAAACTGTTCTTGTGTCTAGTTAACTGGACTTAGACTTCTTAGACCCAATGTTTACTAATTCAGTTTTGTGGATTTACATTCATTTACAAGAATCCAATTGATCATAACAGATGAATTTGCATAAGGCTAAAATGCAGTTGGCAACTTCATTGTAGACAATGTAGAGTGTGTTCCAGGTGAACACGTCTTCAACAGTCAATGGAACTAAGCAGCACCAAAATTAATTTGAATTATTTCTGAATATTTACTTTGCGCTGCTAGAATCCCACAAATACCGCAACCTCGAAGAAATCACAAATAGCGTACCATACAATATAGCCTTCTTCAGTCTCCAAATATGAAAACTTCAACTCCCATACTTCTCAGCATTGGCTGTACTCTCTTGGAATTGCGACAGCTTGTCCGCACCTCCAGAGGGCGCTGCAGTTAGGGCTGAGCCAGAGAGAGAAGCCGCTCGTTCGCAATGAGGGTATAGAGGCGCGCACATCTTACGTTTTCTGATTGAGGGGCGGAGCCGCAGGCGAAGGGAGGCTGGAAGGGCGGAAGCCCTGCACCGGACTCGTTGGGAGTCTCAGGTGAGCAAGAACCAATGCCTGGTGGGGTTCGTCTTGGGTGGGGAAGAAAGCGCCCCCTGAACCTTGGGTGACACCACAGGAGGGCGCCCTATCTTGTTACTTCGCTTCGGGGAATTCTTCTAAAAATAAACTATTTGTATACTTAGCAGGATACTATTATGTAGTTTAGCCAGATAAATCTTAAGCCATATGACAAAAATGTGGATATTAGCTGCAATAGCAGCAGCGTTTTCAAACGAAGAGCTCGTGTAAACTCTATGGAAATCGCATCAGGTGGATTTTCTTTTTTTTTCTTTTTGGCAATACTTAATTTAGAAAAACCATTTCTGTTGGTACCCCTTGTATCTGGATCTTCTGTCTCTCCTAATGTGTTTCGGGCTCAAACCTGTATAGAAGTTGCACTCTGTATAGTAGAATTTTTTCCCCCGTTTCATATTTTCCTCGTTTTGCAAGTTCATGCTAAACGTTAAGGATAATTATAAGCTGCCGCTCCCAAACATCATTAACTAAAATTTCCATCATTTCCAACTACCATGAGCAATGTTCACTGAAAGTGATGGGAATTGTAGCTCAAAGCTGAAGGCTGTTTTGTTTAGTGAGGATGAGCCGCATTCATGCAATATGTGATACGCTTTTTGGTTTGCTAGTTTGAGGCATCACGTTACAAATCTAGGCTTAGCTAAAAACCAACTACTTGTGGCTTATTCATTAAATAGTGATTAGGAAAGCCATATTTTAGAGCATACTTCTCAAATTTAGCCATTTGAAGATGTGTGGACTTCAACTTCAAAAATTCTCCCAGATATTCTTGTAGTTGAAGTCCATACGTCTTAAAATGGCTAAGGTTGAGAAACACTGTTTTAGAGGGATATGTAAGTTTTGCCATATTTTCATGTGTGGTATAAAAGAAGAAGAGTCTAATCATTCAAGAAGTTGTGAAAAAAAATAGCTCAGAGTGCTCTGTATTAGAGAAGAGCCTCATTTTATGCCTCCCAAAATTCTGATGATGAGAAATGCAAATAACCTGCAGTGTAACTGTTCAGATATGCTTAGTATAGGTATAAAGAAAAAACAACTGGCCAAACCCAAGGGAAAAAATAGAAAATTCTAATATTTTCCATATTGTACCGGTATATATTTGGTACAACCCTACCAAGTGAAATCCAAGCTCTCCCTATCTCACAACTAAATTGTTCCCAACTATTGATTGTTCAAAAATATTAAATAACAGCTGCTTTAAAAAATTAAAAAATAATCTGTTTTATAGTAAAACTTGAAGGAAAATTGTAAAGTGTAAATAAATGTTTATACACAAATATTTGTGGTCCAATATTAGGAAATTTAAATTTCCTTTTCATTATTTCCAGCCCAACAGAACGTTGGAACAAATTATATAAAGGCACTTTGCCCATTATCAGAAAAACCTGCAAAAAACAAAAGGAAAATGAACCAGATTTGTCTTGGGAGAGTAACCAGAAAAAGAAAAAATACATTTATATATACACACACACAGACAGAGGGAGAGGGGGGGAGGGGGGCAGGGAGAGGTAAATGTTTAAATATGAAGAATTGTTTGAACCAGTTGTCTTGTTATACCATACTTTACTCTCCATGCAAAATTATATGGTGCACTGTAGTTTAAAAAATGCTTTTGCTACTTTTATTTCAGAATTTGCAATGTCTAACAGAAGCATTATCATGATTACAGCTGGTTGTATAGAGAATCTACTGCATAAAAAAAATTACCAAGATATTGGCAGTCATCTTGAATATCTTGAAACTGTTGATATGACTATAAATAATCTCCAAGAGACTGATATTGCCAAAGCTGTTTTCCAAATCCTCAAGAACTGTCCCTCTGTAGTACTGAAAAACAAATCTAAGCATTTATTGTCAAAATGGAAAACACTTTATAAAAAATACCAATCAATGCATATTAAACCAGGACTCAGTAATATGGAAGTATCTTTTAAGAATGATCAGATAGTCTTGAAGAATAGAAACTTCTGTGAAAAAGGTCAGCTTGAAAAAGTAAATTCTGTCAGTTCCAACAATTGCCTGCCATCAGAAAAGAGTTCAAAAGCTGTTAGAAGTAATGTGCAAGAGGATTATGCAGTTCAATCAGAACATCTGAGAGTCTCATGCTTGGATAGCAAAATAAACCCATCTGAGGATCCCATTACATCTCTAAGGTCTAAATGCGTAGAACTTCTTAACAAAGCTTTGCATGACTCTTCAACAAGCAATGAACAAAATGAAAAGCACCACAAACTAGCAGAAGAAATTGAACAGCACATTTTTGCAATGTATGTAAAAAATAATCGAAAATACAAAAACTGTATCAGGAGCAAAGTTTTAAACCTGAAAAATCCTAAAAATTTTCAATTAAAGACTAACTTGCTTTCAGGGGCTCTTAATCCCAAAACATTTGCTGATATGTCTGTGATGGAAATGGCACATGATGAACTGAAAGAGCTCAGGACTTCATTTACAGAGTCATCTGTTCTGGAACATCAGCTCCCCCAAAATATCAGTGGTACACATACAAGCAAAATAAAATGTAAGCGCTGTGAAAAATATGATTGCACTATTACTGTCATTGCAAGGGGAGCCCTTTTCCTTCCTGGTTGGGTGCAGAATACAAATCCAGATGAACAAATGATGACTTATGTGATTTGTAATAAATGTGGAGAGCAGTGGTACCATAGCAGATGGATCTGTTTATGATTACTTAGAAGTAAATATAAAATATGAAGGTAACCCAGAGCAAATATTTGAATGTGGAAGTAGTGAAAATGCTTAAATGGTTTTGTACTGTAATAAAATGTGGATGTGAATTATTGAACAAATGATTATAAAATATTGGAAATTGTTTAGAAAGCAGAGTATTACTCAGGCCAGTTCGTAATAACAAATCAGCATTACTATAGTATCAATATCATGCAACTTACAGATAATAGGATATTTTAAAAGCATTATTAAGCTAGTAACTTTTTACATTCATCTGAAGACTTAAATTGTAGTTGTTAAATCTCTAGGAATGAAGTTTCCTGATTATTATTCTTGAAATTCTTTGATCTTTGGTAGTTCTCATGAGAGGACCCAAGAGACGTCATGAGGTGTCCTTGATAATAAAGATCTCTCTCCCTCCTGCCTTCCCTCACTCCCTCTCTTTCACACTCACACACACACACACGGGATGTCCTTGATATGAAGGCAGTGTATTTTTTTGAAATGTGCATAGTTGATCTGTATGATTTCAGTTCAAGTTGAGGGCAAATTTATTTATTTAGCGTATGGCAAATACATGGACTTATAGTTGTTTATCCATTGCCATGTATATAGAGAGCCAGGAGTTTTACAAAGATGTCTGGCTGCCAACTGTCGTTAACAGCCAATTCTTCAATGTAGTTTGGCTGCCAATTGTTGCTAGTCGTTTGGTTCACACTACCATGCTATCCAGGGTGCACCACGAGGAGGCGAACTAGCATCACACCCCTGAGGGCAAATAATAAATGTATTTTATGATAATATAGCTCAACGTATATCATACTAATATTAAAACAGCTTTATTGACTACCTATTAGTTTCCTGAACTAATTGAATGTGCAAGTTTCTTAATTTTTTAAAGACTTAAGTTTGAGTCCAGAGGACTAAGGAAGTACCTTTTCCTAGAGCAGCCAGATGCCAGCTATATTAAGCAGTGTTTTATTATTTCTTACACTAAATTTGCTGACAGTAGCTACCTACCAAGTTTCTAGTCAGTCACACAGTAGTCATCAGTGCTGTGGTTTTTGTGGAGAATGATGGATTAGATCAATTTTATTCTAAACCATCAAACTTTATAATTAATACAGATTTATTATGTTTGATTTCTAGATTTACTCAGTATGGTGGTTCTGGGTGTTCCTTATTGGATTCATTTTTTGTTCTAAGCTTTTACACTAATGCATTTTAATCCTGCCAATGTAACTACCATGTTTCCACGAAAATAAGACCCTGTCTTATATTTTTTTGAACCCTAAAATAAGTGCTTGGCCTTATTGCCATGCACTCAAAAGCCCGATTGGGCCTATTATCAGGGAATGTCTTATTTTGGGGGAAACAGGGTAGTTACTAAATACTAAAAAAAGATATTTAAAAAAAAAATAGTTGATAAATTAAATAAAGCCAATATTCATTAAAATTATAGTTTTTTATTTCTGGAAGATTAATAAACTATTGAAGCACCTTAAAGACTAAAGCATTTATTATGACTTAGGTATTTGTGTTATACAGTTTATTGCCTAATCCAAAAATGTGCATATATGCATGTATACCCATCATACTAATCTCTTCTGAGATAACATTATGTAAAATTCAGAAAAGAAATGAAAAATAGCAAGCCAAACAAAATAAAGCAAGGGAAAAAAATTCAATATTATTTATTTCCCATCTTTATTATTTTTACAAATAACACAAAGTGGCAAACATCTTCAACACACTTTCTTCCTCCTATTTTCCCCACACCAACCCTGTGAGAAGAGTTGGATTGAGAGTGACTGGCCCAAGGTCATCCAGGTGGCTTCCACAGCCAAAGGCAGAACTTGAACTCAGTCTCTTGCTTTCTAGCCCTGTGCTTTAATCATTAGACCAAACTGTCTATCCAGTTTGAAATAATAAAAACTGAATTTAGTTCAATATCAATATTTATACTTCTATTTCTTCATTACATTTTGTTCTTAAAACTTTACTCTTTCTGAAGGATCCCATCAACCATCTATTCACAACTTCCTCAATCTTACTTTACTCTTAACTAGTTACATATTTATGATTAATTCCTCCTTCATTTTTCCCATGTGACCCATGGTGGGTTTCACTTACCTTTGCTACTGGTTCACTCGCTCGCGCACCACTTCTGTGCATGCACAGAAGCTTCTGTGCATGTGCAGAGCGTATGATGATGTCCGGGTGGGTGGGCGGAGCCTCCCACCACCGCTGCTACCAGTTTGCCCGAACCGGGGCAAACCAGTAGCAACCCACCACTGATGTGACCAAACTGCCTTTATGTTCTTATTTTGTACTATTGTTCAATTTTGTATTCAATATACAGTATATTCATGCAGCACCCATTCATTCTTGACCCATATTTTCTTATCACACACTACATTGATCTTATGACTTTCCTGATATAACCAGTACTCACTGTCTTATATATCTGGTCATTTTACTTTTGACACACACTTCATTCAAACTACTTGTTATCTTTGTTCCAGCATCTGCTGCCACTCCCCCAGCATTTGTAAGCATTCTGCTAAGGCAGAGATATTTATATACTTGCTTTAATTTTTAGACTATTAATTGTTCACTGCATTTTTCTTATCAAGTATATTGGTCTTAGGTACATTTCAGATTCATCCTTTGTTCAATCATATAGTCTTGTCATTTGCTGCAAATTATTATGGCTGTAAATAAACGACACAGCATTGACTGTGTATAATAGTGTAAGTTTACATCTCCAAGTAATATATCTCTTAACATCACAACAAACTCAGTTTAGTGTGCATTACAAATGGCTTTTTAAAAAAATCTATATTGTTCCACAAGCATCTGTGAGGCAAAACACATCTCTTGAAAATGTGGATGATTAGGTATTTTATTGATAACCATTTTGATGCAACATTCAGCACAGATCGTGTGCTAGACCAAACCTTTGTGCTCTGTCTTCTTCAGTTCTAAGGATAGAGAACAGGGCTACTTCATACATAGCTGAAATTTGCCCAATGACTTCACACTACAAGTTGCAATGGAAAAGTGGTATTTTTCCGAAGAGATTTGCCTCATTTCACTAAATATTGTTTTATAAATCCATAGTGATAGCAACTAGATATCTTATATCCTGCAGGTCTCTTTTTATTGCATTTCAATGAATTTATTTACTAACATTAGGATCTCCTTGGAAAAACAATTATGCGTTCATTTTTGTAAAGTTTAGTTTCATTATTAAGGCTTCCAGTGATTACTTTGGATCTATTTCATCAAGCATATTGATGGCCTGGTTCTTAATAATCTTGTCCAAGTAGCATAATTCAAAGGCATAAAATATCAGAACCCAAGAAAATACTTTATAGATTAGACCTGCAGAAAACAAAAGAGTTGGAGGAAGACTAACTAACTTGTTCTTCAGCGAAATTTTCAAACAGGAACGAACTGTAGTAGCTTCGCTGTTTTCCAGGGGCCCAGCAAGCAGAACGGACACACGTAGAGGCGGGACGGGGCAGACAATCTCCAATTAGAACCGCGAGTCTAGGCCTCGTAGCCTAGCAACAGCCTCCCTTCCGCTCAGTTGGGCCGAGAATCGGGGAGGCGAGGCTGTCCTCGTCTGATATCACGTGAGGGCCAGATTCCGCCCTCATAGCGCAGCCCCGGCCATGTTATTTCCCTCTCAAGCTCTCTCCCTTCCTCTCTGTTGCGGTGGCCGCAAGTGCTCCGGGCCAGTTTTCGGCTCTCCGCTTTCTTGACAGGTGAGCGCGCCCCATCTCTGGCCTTTTACCATGGATGGGCTCAAGAAAGAACCCAGTTCTTCCGGGGTGCGGTTCCTGGCCCTGAGGACTCCGGGCGTCGGCTTGCGCTTTTCATGGCCGCTTACAGTAGATGGGGAGGAGGCATTAGCGATGTTTCCCTCGTCTCCCATCGGTTCTTTAGGAAAGGTTTTCTGAGGGTCCGATCGAGAGTGGCTCTTGGTCGCTCCTTGGTGCAAGAGGGAGGTGCTAAAGACAACGTTGCTTGTATGGACACTCGAAAAATGCCCGCCTCGGCAGTTGGGGGCTGCAGAGCCTCTTGCAAATGGTCCTGGCTGTAGGGCTTCCTAAAGTGAAACTTGAGGAAACAAAGCCTTCGGGGGCAGGTAGCAGTATCTTATCCCGCACAATTACCCCTCCCCCTTTTTTTAACTTACAGGGAGAAAGTTGTCCTCCTAAGATGCCCTTCCAGTGGCATGATTAAAAGTCCCGTGATCAGAAGGAGACGGCCGTTTTGTTGGGAAATTGCTTCCCTTCTGTACTTCTCAGTTGGCGCATGACCAAGTTATCACTGGGGCAAATAAGCCAAACTGATTAAAATGACTCGACTGTCAGGACGGTTCAACAACTTATGTATGTCCTCTTTGTTGCATTTTTCATGTGGAAAATCCGTGCCCCCCCCTCCCCAAAGAGATAATCAAGCTACTTAGTTTGCTGCTCTGCCTGTTTTTATTTTGATTAAATTGAGTTTAAAGAAGTATTATTTCCTCCTATTTGTGCAGTTAAGTGTAAAAACTGGCCTAGGTGACATGAGCTGTGTCTAGGTGGGTAAGAGAGCAAAATAACCTTTTTAGCTGATTATGAAAACAATCAGATTTTTTTTAAAAAATTCTTCTTTAGCAAGATAAAAAATTGTAAACTGTATTTACTGTATTTACAATATTTTAAAAGAATAGAAGCAATTTTTAATTATAAACTCAAAGAGTAAAGAACTACCCTGACTTTTGTTTTCAACAAAACCAAACCCATGAAGACTGTAATTAAAGATACAATGATACAGGGTTTTTTTACCCCAAGCCCATAGACTATATAAATCCACTCAAAAGAGGACACATAGTATGTACTTTTGCTCTGTAAATCGTGCATTTTTATAGTTCTCAGTTGGATGTAATGAATTTGTTGTGCTATATTATACCCAACTACTCAAGTTGCTCTTCATAGTATTGATCGGAATATTTAGCTTTGAATTCTAAATTATTCTAAATTGTAAATATTCTAAATTCAATTTAAAACACTAAATAAAAGTGGATTAAATCTGTTTGAATTCATTGACACATCATAATGTGCTCATTATTAAATATTTCATATATACTATGACATATGTTTTGACATATAGTTATGATTTTATTATATTGTTTCAGTGAACTGTTTCCAAAAGTTCCATATTTATTAGTGGCACAGTGAAGATGCTGGGTTTATTTCTTAAGGAGATATATGGTCAACAGCCCTGGCAAATTGTTCCAGTGCTTATAGGACTTATCATAGTTCAGCTTTATTACAGTTCACACAATCATTTCAAAATTCTAACAAATGTTTGTACACAATTGGATATTGTACGCAATATCCACAATTGTTGGATATTAGTGATCTGTGGCCTCTACTATCAAGATTACTGGAAAATTGCAGTTTTAAATAGCATCAAGTATCTGGTGAGTTTTTGTATGATTATTTCTATAGGTTTATTTGAATAAGACTCAAATAACTATGGCCTTTTTTTCAAGACTTTCAAACAGGGTGGATTTGATTTAAATTGAGTCGATTTAAATCATGATTTAAATCATGATTTAAATCACTAGTAAAAAGACTTGATTTAAATCAACTCAATTTAAATCATAATTTTTAAAGAGCAACTGTCATCTCTGCTACTCCTTTGACCCGCTGTTGACTCATCGATAGTCCCAGTGTTGCAGAATATACAGCCTTGTGATACATAACTAAGCTCCATTTCATGCTGAATAAACTAAATTATTTATGTATCTTAAACAGAAAACTATCTTACGATAGATTTTTAACCCGTTTTTTATTAAAATAAATTCAATAAAAATCAAAAAAATCCGATTTAAATAAAAAAATCCGATTCAAATAAAAAAAACATTTTTTTAATTTTTTTTAAAAAATCATTGATTTTTATCCACCCTGCTTTCAAATACGCATATCAGCTAGACTTATATTAAGTCATGAGTATAGTTTAAAGCAGGGGTGTCAAACTGGCGGCCTGTGGGCCAGATGCATCACTCGCAGGTCATGCCTACCCCAGCTCTGCAAAGGCAAAAAATATCACAATACGTAACATGCTGTCATGTGACGTGATCCAAGTTTGACACCCGTGATTTAAAGCATCACTTCTAAGACATTTTTCATAGGATTACAGCTATATAAATCTCAGTGGGGGTAACATATTGTTTAAATAGTAAAACTATTCATAATTGAATTCAATAGTTGAGAATTCTGAAAGTAATGTGGAATATAAAAATTAAAAATATTAACATTATTCACTATTTCACTAGATATGATTAAATGTAGGATAAAACAATCTACTCCAGAACTAGCAACATAGTACCCTTACATTTGATTAGTTAATGGCAAGAGATTGTTGGGAATTGTAATATAATATATCTGAAAGTATGCACTTTATCCCCCCTCCCCCGGTCTAATTTTTATAAATATGTTAATATTTCCTGTAATCATTGTGATACAATGGCCAATATACCATGTTTCCCCCAAAATAAGACCTATCCCAAGAAATAAGCCCTAGCATGTTTTCTGCCTGTGCACCCAATATAGGCCCTACCCCCAAAATAACCCCAACTTAAGTGTCTGCACTACCGGCTGCCTGCCCATTCCGTTTGGTTGCTCACGGTGCTGCCAACACAAGGTGAGTTGAGGTGAGGGGGATGGAGCTGCCCCACCTGCACACCGGCTTACCTCAGGGCCCCCACAGCTAGGCCATCCATGCCCCAACAACTGCCTCATGGCAGCACACCAACAGCCATGTGCAGCAAGAGCCCATGTGGCTGCTGGCTCACTTCTTGTGGCGTGGCACCAGAGCAGGACGCTGAGTGAAGTGCTGGTGCTGTGGCTGTGAGGCAGGGGAGGTAGAGCTACCCCACGTGCTCCATACCAGCTTATCTCAGGGCCCCCAGAGCCAGGCCATCCATTCCCCGACACCTGCCTCACCGGGCAGCTCAACTCCCCCCAGCTTGCCTTGTCACGGCATCAGCACATCACTCGGCTTCCTGCTCCGGTACGGTGTCATGCGGTGCCGGAAGAAGTGGACTGGGGGACATGCGGGGTCTTGCTGGATGGGTTGCCACAGCTGCCACCACAAGGCGAGGCAGATGTTGGGGTGTGGCTAGCTAGAGGTGCCACCCTTGGTGTACCATGCTCTAGGTGACACAATGTAACCAATTTGTGCAGGGACTGCAGCCCATTGAAACCTATCAGAGAGCTAAAACTTTGTGAATTAGCACACATCCTGGTTTAAGTTCCTGTGCAGAGTTTGAAGCATAATATAATTTTGCCTCTTGTTATGGATCAGCAAGGTATATGAAACATTTCATGAAATAAACGTGTTGCCTGTTTTGAGTCCTTATGCTTTGATTTAGGACATAACTGGACCAGTAGTTCCAGTCCATCCAGGATTTGCAGTAAGAGTCTTTGCAACCAACTAGCTGCAAAGGCACATGTACATAAATATATGATATTACTGGTTTATGCAAATTTCACCCTTTTTTGGTTGCAAATATCTCCATGTTGTAGTTTTTAATTTGTTTTTATGTCTTTGGAAAGAACGTCATTTCTGCTACAAAACTCACCATACTTCACTTTTGGATCCAGCCTGTTTTGGTCAGAATTAAGGCCCAAAGACATTCATAATTTGCACACATGGATGCTTTGTTAAAAAAGATTATCTTTACCACCAGACTGTTTGACATATAAATGAGCTAGAGGTATAAAATTTCACAGTTCAGCTAAATTTATTGTGCTGATCATGCTTTCAGTATATGATACTCTTAAGGGCCTTGGTAGTACAGTGGTCTAAAGCACCCTGTTATTAAGAACAGCTGCCTGCAATTACTGCAGGTTCGAATCTCGCCAAGGCTCAAGGTTGACTCAGCCTTCCATCCTTTCTAAGGTAGGTAAATGGAGGACCCAGTTGTGGGGGCAATAAGCTGACTTTGTATAAATATACAAAAGAATGAAGGCTATTGCTTAGCGCATTGTAAGCCGCCCTGAGTCTCCGGAGAAGGGCGGCATATAAATCAAATTAAAAAAAACAAAAAACAAAAACTCTGGTATATTAATTACCTTGCATTGGTTAGTGATGATTAAGCCACTTGCCAATTTAGCAAAATTGGCAACTCCATCATCTAGGGGGGCATTCCCGATACCAGGCAAGGTATCAGCCATGGGTTTGCAGACATTAAGGAAAAAAAAAAACAAGAAAATTCACTGTGTATTATCGTTGAAGAAACAATGTGCATACAGAGCAGTAATTAACTTTGTCTGTAAGCAATTCTATTCGCCTGTCTACTTGACATGGAATGACGCAAAGCGTAATTTAATATAAAATATTCATATGAAGTTTAAATTCTGAATGTTGTTTCCTCCTCCCTCTCACTTACTAGTGTATAGTAAAAATACATAAGAATTCAATTTAATTTTTAAAAAATGGGTATGCAAAGGTTTCATTTCACTGAAAACAAGTTGAAAGTGGTGAAATTTAATAAATGCTTATGTAATGTTGTATAATTTGATTATAACTTCCTTTGGAACATATTAAGTATATTCCATTTCATAATAAAACAAAAGTATATTAGTTTTAAAATGCGTACCTGGCAGTATGTTTTCAGTAGTAATACAATATCTCTCTTTTTTTTGGCAGGTATTTAATTATGATTTACACTGAACAGTAAAGGTAACTATTTTGATCAAATGTTTCATATAGTAATAATACTTAAATTTAAATGATAAATAAATTTAAATGATAAATGTGACAAAAATGTAAATATCTTATTATATGCACATCCAGATAAAGAGAAGTAGCAAAGGAAGATTAGATATTAATCTAGATGTGACAGATGTAATGCATGTTGGAAAGTGGTTTAAAATAGACTGTTTTCCAATATTTATGTTGTGATATTCAGGTTTAGAAAAAAAATCCAAAATTGAGAAGACAGCTACAAATGCAGTAAGTTCGAAGTAACAAATATATTTATTAAATTTATATGCCACACATCTCAAACTTCGAGGTGACTGAGTGGCAGAGTAATAATAACACATATTTTACTATGTAATAATGCATGCAGATAAAAACAATTATAAATATAAAAATAGATTAAAATTACAAAAACAAAAGTAAATATGGGTAATATATAAACATGCCAAATATACTACATTAATACATAATAGTATTAGGTATTTCAGTTGCAGTTATATTTAGTCAGCACTCCCCCAAGGTATAGTACATTCAGAAAGTATTCAGACCCTTTTCACTTTTTTTTTTTTTTTTAAATTTTGATTTATATGCAGCCCTTCTCCGTAGACTCAGGACGGCTTACATTGTGCTAAGCAATGTCAATTTTGTCAATTTTGTTATGCTCTAGCCTGATTTTACAGTTGTTGAAATTCATTTTTTTCTCATTAATCTACACTCAGTACCCCATAATGACAAAGTGAAAACAATTTTAGAAATGTCTGTAAATTTATTAAAAAGAAAAAAACTCAAATATCATATTGGCCATTCAGTCTGAATGGTATTCAGACCATTCACTCAATACTTTGTTGAAGCCTTTAGTCTATGGAGATTCTCAGTCATCCAGGTCATGTGTCAGGGTTCCGACAGATGCCCTAATTAAATCATGAGAACATTTCATTTAAAATAAAAACAACGTATGGCAAACTGCAGAGGGAAACAATCTCACTTACTGATTGTAAATTGTAACAAATGCTGAGCAATGTGGTTGTAAAGCAGGGTGGATTTGATTTAAATAGAGTCGATTTAAATCATGATTTAAATCACTAGTAAAAAGACTTGATTTAAATCAACTTGATTTAAATCATAATTTTTAAAGAGCAACTGTCATCTCTGCTACTCCTTTGACCTGCTGTTGACTCACCGATAGTCCCAGTGTTGCAGAATATAGTCTTGTGCTACATAACTAAGCTCCATTTCATGCTGAATAAACTAAATTATTTTTGTATCTTAAATAGAAAACTATCTTACGATAGATTTTTACCCCAAAAGTTTTTTATTAAAATAAATTCAATAAAAATCAAAAAAATTGAATTTAAATAAAAAAAATCTGATTTAAATAAAAAAAATCCGATTTTTTTTTATTTTTTAAAAAAAATCATTGATTTTTATCCACCCTGTTGTAAAGTGAAACATGACCACATCTGACTTAGGGCATTAGTTATGGCTGCAGTCATTAAGTGCAAGATCACATGGCCATGACTTATGACTTACTGTTGACTTCCATGTTGACTTTGGTTGTTGGAAGCCAGCTGTGAAGGTTGCAAATTGTGATTATGTGACTGTGAATCATCATAAATGTATACCAGTTGTCAAATTCCTGAATTGTGATCCCATCACTATGGGATGTTGCAGTGGCTGTAGGTTTGAAGAGTATTGTAAATCACCTTTTTCAAGCCTTCAGTTCAAACAGTTGCTGAATAAGCACTTAGTAAGCAAGGATTGCCTGTAGTGCTGTATTATGATTGCTGACCATAATTCTGCGGATTGATAAACTAAGCAATTTTTCTTTTAAATGAAATAAACGGATATCATTAAGGCAGTGTGGGCACAATGAATTTTACAAGCACTATACATGAATAAAATTTTGTCACATTTAAGGAAATTGAATCATATTGGTTTGAGAAAGGTTGACTGTACATAAAATAAATTTCCTGAGTACTTAACAAAGGAGTTATCAAATGGGGCTTTATGTCCTATAAATAGAATATTTATATTTTATAATTTGTATTTATATTTGTATTGTTTATCAATTTTTTAATGCTTTTAAGACTCATAGCACCTAGAATCACAGTTTCAGTTGGGTGGCCTTACAAATCTTAAAAATAAATGGATAACTATAACAAATATATTTATATTTATATGTCTTACTATTTGGCAAATTACATAGTGTTTACTCTGATTACTTACCTAGACCAGCATTCCCCAACATTTCCGGGTTGGCGGCCTGGTGCGGGGGGAGGGGGATTGTTTTGTGTGATGGGCAGACACACGTACGTGCCCAGCTTCATTTGTGTGAGTGATGGGTGTGAGTGCTGGTGCTCGCTCAAGTGGGGCTCTGAACACCAGCGCCCATCAGTTGTGCAAATGAAGCTGCATGCATGGCCTGGTTGCAAATTGGCCGCAGCTCACAGGTTGGGGCCCGATCTAGACAATTATTATTAATATAAGACCTGAAATTGAGAATAATTCTTATTGTCCGTATTTTACTGAAAATGTGTTTAAACATGATAGTCAGATTGTAGGAGTATACTATCATAGAAGGAAGTAAGGAATAAAGTGATTTGTTTTTTGTTTGTACCTTTACATTTGGTACTACTTAGTCAATTAGAAAAATATATAAAGAAATGTATTTTTCCCTTCTGTTTTTACATGCTACTTACACAGTTCCCCCAAATTCTCTCTTAGATTCTTCTTGTTGTTTTACTTTGCATTGTTCCAGTCGTATCATGGGGAAGTTGGGAGTTTTTCATCTCACACACACACCCTTTTGTCTTGTCTGCAGCATTGGCAGTGGATATGCCTACAAAATCTAAATTGCCATATTGCAATAACTCTTTAACAATTGAGGAGGGTGATTTGGAATCAAAAGCAGAATGGAATCATATTAATAAAATGCTATTAAAAGGATTAAAAAAAACCTTCAAGTCAAGTTTGACTCCTAGTGATGGTTTTCTGGAATGTTTTTTCATTCCCATCCTAGTCCTAATCAAGTTGAACTCTTTCAAGATCAGCCAAGGTTGGCTAGGTGTTGCCACCCAAGCTTATTTTGTGTCATTATAGTGTCCTCTCCATTAGAATTGTTGCTGTTGTTCAGCTGCTAAATCATGTCTGATTCTTGGCGACCCCCTTGGACCATAGCACATCTGTTCTCCACTGTCTCCCAGAGTTTTCATTCATGCTCATTGTGTCAATGACACCATCTCATTCTCTGCCATCCCCTTTTCCTTTTGCCTTCAATCGTTCCCAACATCTGGGTCTTTTCCAATGAGTCCTCTCTTCTCATTAGGTGGCCAAAGTATTTTAGCTTCAGTCTCCAAAGGTCAGTATTTTCCATTAGAATACTGTACGAATTTCTGCCTAATTTGTGGAATATACAATATCTAATTGTACTAAAATCAGTCTTCTGTTCTTTTTGACGAACAAAGAAAATATTTTTGATTGATTCACTAGCATATAGAGTTAATATTTCATGTTGAATTTATGTTGAAATGTTTGCAACATGTGAGTCTTGTTTTATTTTGCAGATCTGGAGATCATAAAGGATCTATTCTTGAAACAATGGCAACAAAATCATCGCTCCTTAAAGTAATCCTTTTAGGAGATGGAGGAGTTGGAAAGAGTTCAATTATGAACAGATATGTTACTAACAAATTTGATACCCAATTATTCCATACAATAGGTGTAGAATTCTTAAATAAAGATCTGGAAGTGGATGGACACTTTGTCACAATGCAGATATGGGACACTGCAGGCCAGGAACGGTTTAGGAGCTTGAGGACTCCCTTCTACAGAGGTTCTGACTGTTGCCTTCTCACTTTCAGTGTAGATGATTCTCAAAGCTTCCAAAATCTGAGCAACTGGAAAAAAAGAATTCATTTACTACGCAGATGTGAAAGAGCCTGAAACATTCCCTTTTGTGATACTGGGTAATAAAGTTGATATAACCGAGAGGCAAGTTTCTACAGAAGAAGCCCAGGTCTGGTGCAGAAACAATGGCAACCATCCTTACTTTGAAACGAGTGCAAAAGATGCCACTAATGTTGCAGCAGCTTTTGAGGAAGCTGTTCGAAGAGTTCTTGCTACTGATGATAGATCAGATCACTTGATTCAAACAGATACGATAAATCTTCACCGAAAGCCCAAACCTAGTTCATCATGCTGTTGACTATTTAGCTTGGTTCAATATCATTCTTAACTGGGAATAATAATAGAACATATGATTCATTGGATGACACTCTAATATATTAAACTGTAATATTTTACTGCTTTATGTGCTGCCAGAAGATTCTCTTCTATGTGACCTATTGCTAAATAAATGGTATCTGACATTTGGGGAAGGTATTAACTCAATAATTCATTTAATTTAAATGTTGTTTGAATAATAAATTATATACTAAAACTTGAAAGTTCTAGAAGCACTACTTGGGGACTCAGTTGACGAATAGAAATTTTATATCTAATGTATATTTTTGAGGTCACTAATCCATGTTTGCTTCACTAAAACCTTTTTCATAAAGCAATATTAGTAGATAGTACATTCTTATTCACGATTGCATCTTTAATCTGTTTTTTTAAAATCTGATTTAATATAAACATTTTAAGGGCTTTTGCTATTTGCCTAGTGTCACTGAGCTGCCTGTAGATTTTAAGTTCGATAATAAATATGCATATATGGAGCCTGTGCGTGTTTGTCTTTATCTGCTCTTTTTGCCCAACACTGGGCAATAGATAATACATTACTAGGTTTGTTTTTTAAAAAAATGATTGCAGTATGTCTTAAATCTTGACATAAGTTGTCAGGTTTTTAAACTACAACATTAGCTTGACTCAGTTTTGATTGAAAATCTGTGAATGAAATCCCAGACAGATTTGTTGAGTTTGGGTGAAATTACAGTCTTCAACTTTATGACCCTAATTGAGTCCAAAATTTCTGTTGCTAAGGAAGTGAGTTTTGCCCCATTTTACCTTTCTTGCCACAGTTCTTAAGTGAATCACTGCAGTTGCTAAATTAGTACCATGGTTGTTAAGTGACTTCCCCATTGCCTTTGCTTGTCAGGTCGCAAAAGGTGATCACATGATCCCCAGAGATTGCAACTGTCATATATACAGTTGCCAGATGTCTGAATTTTGATTATGTGACCATGGGGATACTGCAACAGTCATCAAGTGTGAAAATGTCATATGTCACTTTTTTCAATGACATTGTAACTTTAGATGTGTTACACTAATGATTGTAAATCAAAAACTACCTGTATGTTACAAATATTTTTACAAGGCAGAAATCTTAATACAAGTGTAGAGCTAACTCAGAACAAGACAACTTGCAAATCACATATTTACAAATACAATGTAGATGAAATGTTCACTACTCCAAGTCAAACATCTCTATTCCATTTCCAATTATACTACCTTTACATTTCTATTTTGGTATGTTTGTATAGTTACCATATGCTAGTCTACGTATTACTATTCCCCTGCAGTTTAGATACTATTTTAGTAAAAAGCAGAATATGCTCAAGTATGTACACTGGCGTAGTTTTAGGGGACTGCACCACATTATTCAATAAATTTAAGAACAGACTTTAAACTTAAGATGAGAACTAGTTATATTTTATTCAGTTATATTTCCTTTTTCTTAAACACCCCATTGTACAGGTAGTCCTCGAGTTATGAATGTAACCCATTTGTAACCCAAAAAATTCATGGGAGTGAATCTTGTATCTTAACGGGATCACTCCCTTCTTTTGTCCATACATTCACTAGTAAAATGCAAGGCTCATTAAGTGCACATTAGGTCTTTCAGGGTGGGGAAGGCCATGGGGAGCCTAGTAATGGAACAGGCCACCTGCCTAAGACCACCCAAGGCCTCCCTGGCCCACTGAAATACCTCATGCTCCCCACAGTTGCTTACCCCCACCCCATCCCAATCTGCTGTCCTGGATCACTTACTTTATGAAGATCTAGCAAGCAATCTCCTCTCCAGCCTCTCAGCTGTGTGCGCCCCTCTGCAGTTCCATTTGGGCCTCTGCCAGCCCGTTGCAGGCCGGATCCGCCCCTCACAGGATACATTTCGGCCTGCAATGGGCCAGGGGAGGCCCAAACAGAGCGTCGGAGGGCCGGATCCGCCCCCCCAGAAGCTCCATTTCAGCTTGCAACGGACTGGAGGAGGCCCAAACAGAGCATTGGGGAGGGGGGTACATGGCTGAGAGGCTGGAGACTCCTGGATCTTCACAAGGTAAGTGACATGGTGTGGCAGGTTGGGTGGGGGGAAAGCAATTGTGGGGAGCATGAGGCCCGAACGGAGCTCAGCTCCATTTTGGCTGGCGACATTCAGAATGAATGTTACAGAGCTTCTGTGGTTGTTCGTAAGGACGAACTGTGGTGCTGCAAGATTTGTAGTTTCAGGACTTGTTTGCAAACACTAGGGGGCACTTACATAATTTCAAACATTAACTAAGGGAACGCTCGTAACCCGGGGGTTACCTATATTCCCTAGACTTATCTGTATGTAAAGGTAAAAAGAATTATTGTCTTATGATGGCATCCCAATGAGAAGTGTATGTTTTAATATTTGATCTTAAATTCATTTTGCTTTCAATAGCTACGACTGAAAATAAGGAATTCTAAATGCAGAAGTTGTCCATATTTAAATCACAATACAGAAGGCATAAATACAAAAGTTAATGCTTACATATTCAGAAACTGAAGATCTTCAGCACCTCATCAACAGAGTCTCAGAAATATCTGAAAAATATGGCTTGAAGTTTAACACCTCAAAAACCAAGATCATGGTCGTCAGCAAACAACCCATTAATTTACCGCTGATAAATTCAGAAGGAATACCATTAGAAAAAGTTGAAAGGATCACGTACCTCGGTTTTAATTTACATGAAAGCTGGGACATGATCAGTGAAATAAAGACAAGGATAGAGAAAGCTCGAACAGCATTCTTCAAAACGAAAAACGTCTTCTGCAGTCACGATATAAACCTAAGACTGAAAATCAGGCTTGTCAGATTAGGCATTGGTCTTACCTTGAAGGCCAAATTTCTTGATAGTTGTGTCATCGTCCAGATGTGGGCTGCTTCAGTCGTATCTGTTGCTGGCTGAGCCATAGTTTTTTTGACCACGCCCCTTGCTCCTCCCTTTGGGGCCCAGTTTGGCGAAGAAGGCCACAGGAACAAGCTCCAACAGGAACCATCATCCTCAGAAATAGAAACTGGTCCAACGGGACAACTGGAAATAAACTCCTTTAACATTAACAAAAAATAAACTGTACAGGCCCTGAGACAGAGGGAGGGGTTGGACGATGACACAACTATCAAGAAATTTGGCCTTCAAGGTAAGACCAATGCCTAATTTCCTTGATCCAGTTGTGTCATCGTCCAGATGTGGGACATACCAAAGTTTTGGCAGTCCTAAGGACGGGATGACGAAGGGCCTGGGGAGACCCCTGACCGGTGCACCTGTTGCAAAACCCTCCTGCCAAATGTCGCTTCCGCAGAAGCAAAGACATCTAACTTGTAATGTCTAATAAATGGCGAGGGGGTGGACCAGGTGGCCACCCTGCAGACCTCCTCAAGGGAAGCCTAAGTTGCCCAGGCCGCCGATGTAGCCGCACTCCAGGTGGAGTGAGCAGTAATTTGACTGGGAATAGGAACCGCCTGGGCTTGATATGCCAAGGCAATACATGCTCTGATCCAGCGACCAACTGTTGCAGATGAAGCCTTATTCCCTAAGGAACTTGGCAAGAAAGAGACAAACAAGGCCTCGGATTTTCTGAAAGGGGCAGTTCGTGTAATGTATATTTTCAGAGCCCTCCGCACATCTAAGGTGTGCCACCTCCGTTCCAAATTATGGGAAGGTTTAGGACAAAAATTGGGAAGAATAATGTCCTGAGTCCTATGAAATAGTGAATTAACTTTAGGAATAAAGGACGGGTCCAGTCGTAAGACGACGGTGTAGGGTCTGAATATGCATAGATCTTCCCTAACAGAGAGGGCTGCCAGCTCTGAGATACGGCGAGCCGAAGTTATGGCCACTAAGAATGCTACCTTAAGGGTGAGGAAACGAAGATGGACCGTGCGGAGGGGCTCAAAGGGAGATGCCGTCAAGGCATCAAGGACTCTGGGTAAGTCCCAAGTGGGATACCTATGAATCGAGGAAGGCCGTAAGAGCCTGACACCTCTCAGAAATTTTCTAATAACGGGGTGGTGAGTGAGCGGCTGTTCAGAGGGCTTGGATAGGGCCGTAGACAGTGCCGCCACATGTCTTCTAAGGGTGCTGTGGGCCAGACCGCGGTCCAAGCCATCCTGCAGGAATTCTAGGACCTGAGGAGGGGAGGCTAGCAGAGGATTGATCTGGTGGGACCTACACCATCGTACAAAGGCTACCCAGGTGATATTGTAAATCCTAACCGTGGACCTGCGTCTACAAGCCTGTACAGTAGGAATCACCCTATCTGAATAGATGTCCCGCTTTAGGAGGGCCCTTTCAAGTGCCAAGCAGTCAGTTGGAGCCACTGAGGCTCCGGATGGGTCAGGACTCCCTGCCTCAGGACGATCTGGTCCGATGGAATCCTCCAATGGTGTGATATGGAGAGATTGACCAGATCCGCAAACCACGGGCGCCGTGGCCAGTGCGGAGCTATCAGGATTATTTCCGCCCTGTCGGCGACCACCTTCTGGAGCAGAGCTTGGATCAGAGGCAGAGGTGGGAAGGCATAGTGAAGACCGGGAGGCCATGTGAGGCGGAGAGCATTGATCCCTTCCGCTCCCGGAGTCGGGAACCTTGAAAAGAAGCGAGGAAGTTGAGTGTTCAGATTCGTTGCGAAGAGGTCTATGCGCGGAAATCCGAACCTGTTGCATATCGCTTGGAAAATGTCCGGATGGAGCTGCCACTCGGCATTGTCTATCTGAGTCCTGCTGAGGAAATCTGCTTGGATGTTTTCTGTCCCCGCTATGTGATCTGCTCGGATGGAGAGAAGATGTTGCTCGGCCCACTTGCCTAGATGAAAGGCTTCCTCCATGAGACGTCTCGAGTGAGTCCCCCCTTGACGATTGACATGTGCTTTTGCAGCTACGTTGTCTGTCAGCACCAGAACGTGATGGTTTTGAACAAACTGTTGAAACTGTATGAGAGCTAGGCGGATGGCCTTCAGTTCTAGCCAATTTATGGGGTTGGACAGGTCTGATGGAGACCAACGACCTTGAGCCACATGCGATTCGAGATGCGCCCCCCAGCCATAAAGACTGGCATCCGTCGTGAGGGTGATCCTGTTTTGGTCCATGAAAGGACATCCCCCGTCTAGAGAAGGCGATGTCCACCAGTGTAGTGATCGCCTGACTGATAGTGGGACTCTGACAGTGGCCATGGTGTGAGCTTGTTACTTTCGTTGGAAAGGCAGTAGAAACCACTGCAGGTGTCGGGCGTGAAGGCGTGCCCAGGGGACGATCTGAATGCAAGAGATCATTTTGCCTAGAAGTTTTGACAAGGTGGCCAATGGAACAGAAGGGTATTTGTGAATGTGAGCTATCATGTCTTTGATGTCGGCTCGGCGTTCCAAGGACAGGTAGACTGCGCCTTGATGTGTATCTATGATGGCCCCGAGGTGGACGAGTCTGTGGGTTGGTACTAAGTGGCTCTTCTTGTAGTTGACTAGGAACCCGTGTTCGGTC